TTAGATGTTTTCCCTTGCATTATTTTTCTGTCACTTGATTAATTCATTGTATTTAGATGGTGTTTTTGACATTTAGATGGTAGATGTTTTTCTAAATTTTTCATTAGGAGTGAATTTATCAAATCTAACCTAAGAAACAGGATGAAATTTGACCTCTTAAATGCTATCTTGACAATAAAATTCGGCCTGATAAGAGTAGGAAAAGGCTGTTCCACTTAGCTCCCTGATTGCGTATTAAAATAAATTGGAACAGCTAAAGCATACCAATGTCATTCTGTATCTGAAGCTTCAACTTCATCATCCAAGCTAAGTTTATCCAGTGTATCTTGTAAGGCAGACTTCAGTAAAGATGAGGACATGATTCTATAGGGTAAGTCATATCAATAGCTATGTAATTTGTGACTCTTTCCATTTGGATGTTTTTTTCTAGATTTCTCCACGCAAATTTAGATGTTTTTAGATATTTTTGACTCCCTTTTGGTTGTTTTTTGTCAAAGAAAACACTGCTTCCAAACGCAAAAAAAAAACTCTTTTAGGATGGAATTTTTTTTCTGGCATTTTGATATAATTAATTTTGAGCTGCATTTTTTTACTGCAACATGTCATCTTAATTTTTTTTAAATGTTATGATCATTTTTGTGTAAAGCGTCAAGTTTAAAAAAAAAAAAAAAAATCACACACAAAATTGTATTACAATGATTTAATTACAGTAAAACAATGGGAAAAACTGATCCTTTTGTTTGCCACACTTTGAAAATGTAAATACCTCTTTCAGGCCTATGAATTTTGACAAACTTGGCCACGAATAATTACCCTTAACTCTTTGAGTCCCAAGGAACGCATCATACGTTCATAGGTTCCTACCTAGAAGCCCAATAAACGAATGATTTTATGACTCTGTTTACTACCCCCGGGGACTCAAAGAGTTAACAAAAATGGCAGAGCAGGTGGTGTACAAGAAAGGCAATAGAGAATGTAACATAATTCTAATCCCAATAAAAGTGTATATTTTTTTTTAAAGAGAAATGAATGTACATTTTGAATCTGATGATAAGTGTATGTTTAATTTGTTTATAGTTAATAGGAGAGAAGAATTCAGCAGGTGTTAATTTAACAACAACAACATTTTACAAATTCTTCACTTACCATGATTTTTACAAGAGTAGTGAATATCCAAATTTGAGAACAAAACTTCAAAGTTTGTTCAATTTCCTAACAAATTCCAAAGTTATAAGTTTCTAGGTTAGTTTAGAACTCAGGGGGCTCTTAGTTCTCACAGAGTGCTGAGCAAAATTTCAGAGAAAAAAATGGAAGAAAAATGGGCCATTACACACACTATTTACTACTATTTACTTTGTACAGTTATATACAGATTGTAGCTGCAATCATTTCAATGTAGCTAAGCCATAGTATAGTACTGTCTCTTTGTTTGGAGAACTTTCCTTTTCTTTTACCATAAAAGGTAGCTATGGGACACTGTCTGTGTAAACGCATCAGAATCGCTAGATTCCAAACAGCTGATTGCTCAGCTTTGCTGGTTTAATTCACTGTCCGAATCACTTTCAGAAAAATCTAAATTTGCACTATCATTATCAGAATTAAAAACATCTGACTGAAAAAAAATTAAAGAGCTTTGGTGGCAGAAAGACACATTTTGTGACCTGTACTTGTGGTTGGAACTCATGGCACTCGAAAACGAACTTAGAAAATGCACTGTTGAAAAAAATGCAGATATGAATCTGATCAATCTATGGACATGTGGTTTTAGATATGGATGTTGCTAAACGGATATAGTTTAGAGTGACTTTCCCTGAATACTTTAATCATAGTTTCTAACATTAGAAATAAGTACTGAACCGGAGCCGCGTGCAAAGCATTTTGTACGGGACACACGATTGACGATGACAGCGTTGTTCGGGCAAAATGGAACTTCTCAATCAACACTCATACTGCTGCTCGGATCTTAAAGAGTTAAAGGCTCTTCTGAAAGAGAGAGTTTTGGTACAGATAGTGGGAGGAGCCAAACTGCTAACTTAGATGAAAAGAAAGACTAATACAGCTAGGGGTCTTGAAACCACTTCAGAGGCTGCCAGAATGCCAATTGAGTAAGATCAGCAGAAAGTCGTTCTTGCTGTGCGAGTCTTTTTTGTGTGTGTGGCAACTAGCTGGAATTTTCTCAGTTCCCATAAGGGGCAAGGACCCATCAGCACTTATCAGAAGCAAAGGGCCCAGTGTATGACCTGCCTGAAGCAGTGAGAATGAGAGGCTGGGAAAAAGCTACAGTCTCAACCTGAGAGTTGTCTCAGATATATATGAAAGTTAGTATAATTTATGTTCATAAAAATTATCACCATCATAACACCATCCTCCCTCTGCTATTATATGTGCGTACTGAACTCACTGAATTAACCCATTACCATCACTGAGATATTGTCATTTATGATTGCAAGACCAATAAAATTTTTGCTTAAACTGAATTAATAAAATCTTGTTCAAGTTATCATAAAATAGTTAGGTAAATTTTGAACTTAGGTTCAAGTGTCTTTGTGCACACTAATTTACCTCACTTATATGTAAATCACTTGATGGGGTCTATTGTTATAAATTAATACAAGGAGAGGAGAAAGTTGGAAGGTTTAACTGTGTATCTTGATATTCTCGTATTGAATTACTCCTAATATCTTACTACCCTTCTCCTATTCCTGTGGATTCAAGTACAGCTACTTTAATGTATTCTATGAGACACTTTTGCTGATTTGTGTGTGTCTTTTTTCAAAATCCAGGATTTTGTCTGGGATCAACATAACTCAGATATTAGTCAATTTTCTCACATGAGTGTGCAGTGTTAAGATTCAAACCCACACACATAAGTGTATATCCACGTGGGGTTGGTGACATCCTTATAATTTTTTCCAGGGCCAAGTTGAAAAGAAGTGGGAACAGAGCATCATCTGCATTAAAGCAGATGTTATATGATAAGGGTCTGACTTTCTGACTTTTTATATATAACTATATTTTAAGTGTTTTCCATACATAGTTTGGTCATGGTGATTAAATTCTCTAGTATTAAAAAAAAGTCCTTCAAAGCATTCCATAAACTGTTTCTATGTACACTATCATACACCTTTTTAAAATCCACAAAAAAACATTATATACATCTTTTCTAGATTCCTAAATTTGCTCTGCTATTTGCTTTAACAAGAATATCTGATCTACTGTTGATTTATTTTGTCAGAAACTTGCCTGGAAATCACCCCATATATATTCAACGTATGGTTTTAGCCTGTTTAGCAGTACGGCTAATAGTATCTTATAGATTGTTGACAGTATTGAAATTCCTATATAATTTTCACACTTATACTTGTCAAAAAAGTAATACAATATAGTATTAATAATGACTCTTTACACTCATATATAGTGATTATTGATTAGAAAGGATTATAATCAAAGCACTCCAGACAGATCCATAGGTGTTCTGATCTCCTCTTCAAAAACTCCACAAGTGTAAAACGACTGATGACACCTGTTCTGTGTTGGTTAACGAGACGTCTTGTCCTCTTAGTGAAATTTTCATTTCTTGCAGCTCCAGGCTGCACCCCCATGTCCATCAGTCTAGAAGGGATATGGGGTCATGTCCTTTGGCAGTAAGATAGTCTGCACGCTCGTTCCTTTGAACACCCGCATGACCTGGCACAAAGATGAAGGTTGGGGCAGATATTTGTGAAGTGCTTAGTGTTTCAATCCATTCTTGCCTGATAAATCCAGCTTGGATTTTTTAAAGCATATTCATCGAGTCACTAAGAAAGCATACGTGTGGGAAATTTTGAGTACCAAGCCATGCTTAAGCCCTTGTTACAGCTTCCACAGTTTCCATTGTAAGGCTACTAGATGGTGGCGCTGTGATTTCTGTCACAGGCGTGAGGTAAAGTTAAGTCCAACGTGATGTGTATAAGGAGTTACTCCGTACGTCATTCGGGCGCCAGTCCTGCACTGTTCTGGTTTTACGGAACCTCACGAAAGACTCCTGCAGCATGGCCTCGTTATGCGCCACAGATAATGTCTCAAATGATCATTAACAGAGCTGTCAGGGGATCTCGGAGTTGGCGGCCTCCAGAGGTGTAGTGTCCTTGTGGCTCTCATCAGCCCGCCCCCCAAACGCAAGGGTGAAAAAGCTTATCAAAACTCATTAGAAATATGAGTAAAGTGCTGGCCAAATGTACAACTAAAATGACAACTTTCGGTTAAAAGTTTGTGGGGTGAAGAGAATGTGTTGCTGAGACTCAACCCTTGACCTAGAGATTTACCGGCAGCACAGACGAGTAACATCTCCTGTGAGTGGTGTCTCACAGCAAGGTTCTACCCATGTTCATCCTCTGTCAACCCTTAGTGTCATCGCCACCGCGCTGAGGTACACAAGACAGCAATCATCCATCGGCTGGTTAAGCCCAAATGTCTGACAAAAATAGATCCTACGGCACACAAGCAAGCTCAAAATCCGACCATCACAAATCGTATTGACTGGGAAAAAGTCCAAATGTCCACATCCCGAGACCCAACTCGCCCGAGTGCTGGGACCAAACAGATAAAAACATGCCTGACGCAGGATTCTCCATTCTGTCGTGCAAACATTATTACGAGAGGCTGAAAATACTCCATATCAGAAACTGAGAGAGTTACATACTATAAAGCAGAGTGGAGGAATTAAATGTGAGCCCTATGTGACGCACACACATGATGATAATGGTGATGAAAAGACATAGCGTAGGAGGAGGATGAGGAAGAAAAGAAGAAGAAGAAGGAGTAGAAACAGGGGAGTTAGAAAAGCAGGAGTAGAGGAGAAAAAAGAGAAATAAAGGTTTTTTAAAAAAAATCTCTCTAATTGCCAATCAATACCTGCAAATATATTTCACATTCTATGTAATGATACAATAGTTATAATTTCTATGTATTAGGTAAAATAATGCTCTATTGAACACAAAAATAAGTCAGTGTTTTCTTACCTCTATATCCTTGCAAAGTAAAGCCTCTTCTTTAGAAATGTACTTTACTCTTTTAGAACCTAGGTTTTGACTGATTGCCTTTATAAATAAAACAGAAAACACTTCAAGTTGTATTTTAATTCCTTATTATTGAAAACAAAATATCAAAATAAAAGAGCTATGCTTGAGAGATTCTCTGCAATGAATGGTATCACTGTTTTTACACTGACTCAGTGTCATTCTTGCAAAGTTTGCCTCTCACACGCCTAACCCTGTCAGTTCTAATTAAGCAACATAAGATATCTACATGGTTTTTTCTTTTAAATCTCAACCATCTCACAGTATGTTTTCTTAGATTCACAACTGGTAAGAGTATGTTAAAAAATATCTGGATTACTGTGTTACTTTTTCCACTGCCAGTAACCAATTTGAAGTAATACACTCCTGATGGTGGCTGTTTACCTCTTCAGAATATGTCTTGGACATTCTTCTTCGACTGAAAGAGTTAGCTCTTTCAATTATCTAAGGTTTGGCATAAACATTTTTTTTTAAAAATAATAATAAAAAAAAAAAAAACCACATAATTGATCACAGGGGTAGCCATATTTTACTGAAATCCATAAACATAAAAAAAAAAAAACATAAAACAATATTTGAACATAAAAGGAAGAGCCAAACACACTTCATACATTGCTTGCCACGGAATTAGTTCAATATGTTATGCAAAAATTTTCTATAAAGTAAGCGATTTTCCTTACTTTTATTTTGTTTTAATTTTGCCACAAACTTATTTTTTAACATTTTAAATGGTCACCTATCTTATTTAAAGTATCACATTAATGTCAAAACAATACTGAAACCTCATAAAATGCTGAGTTGTGAACTATAGAATGGGCCTCAGTTTGAAAAATGGGAAGACAGAAATAATGGTGGTATCAAAGAAAAGAATTATCACTAAATGTGTAATAAAAGTCAATGGTGTTATTTTAGGACAAGTGCAGAAATTTAAGTATCTGGGCACATGGATAACATCAGATGGAAGATTCATTACTGAGATAAGAAACAGAATAGGACAGGCAAAAACTGCATTTTAAAAAATAAAGGGTTAGAAAAAGAACTCTTGCTTGCTACATGCATCCAGTTTTAACATATGGCTGAGTCCTGGGCAATCCGTAGGCAGGCCAAACAATTTCTTGAGGCCTCAGCGATTTGGTTTTACAGAAAAATGCTTAAAATACCTTAGACAGCCAAAAAAGAGCAACCAGGAGAACTTTGAAAGAGGCCGGATCCTGAAGACAACTAATCACAGACATCAGAAGAAGACAGTCATAATTTTTCAGCCATGTTATGAGAAGAAGGAAAATGGAACATGTAAAGATCTGTAAAAGGAGGGATAGAGGAAGACAATGAGAGAGGATTCTTGAGTCTTGTTGCATGGCATGGAGGTGTGTCAGCACATGAACTAATACATTCTGCAGGAGATCGCAGTTTATGGAGAGGCTTGATCGCCCCGCCAGTCGGCAAAGTACCTGATGATGATAATGATGAACTATAGTGAATTATGAGTTGTGTTATTATCTTCATTGCACTCTAGATATGTCCATAGGTGCTCAGACTCCACCTTCAACACATACATCAGTGCCTCATGGTTAATAGTGCCAGTCCTATGCTGGTTAACAAGACTTCTTGTGTGCCTCTCATTCTTGGCTGTGCTGATCTGTACTCTCAGGCTCACATTCATAGCAGCGATGTGAACATGCTCCTCCCAAAATTCTCTGATCGTCTTATCTCTCTAAGGGCATTAACAATGTCAGCGGGATCCATAAGCCAGTCATCTGCAACTAAGGCAGACTAGGCAAGTCTTACCAGCTCTTTCATTGCTGACAACACCCACATGCCTTGAGACAATGATGAAGGTTAACTCCATGCACAGTGAAGTTTCACAATGACTCAATCCACTGACTGTGTACGGTGCCTACCTCAACCCCCCAGGTCATGCTCAAAGAATCCCTCAGCGCACACACGTGGGAATAGTCCTGTGATTCCAGCCTCATAAAAGCTGTATCACCACTACCATCATGCTGCTAGTAGTAGTAATAAAATACATAAAAATGTACTGTTGGCTTCCTGGACTGTTCTGCCTTTGTGTGATTGTACCATGGACCTGTCTGTGTAGCTCAGCACATCTGAACTGCCACTGATAAGTGCGTGGACTTTGGCATTGACAGCAACAGGATTCTGCTTCCAACAACTCTTATCAAGCATGATGACACAGGAGAAGGTGCAATTTAGCACTTTAGCCAAAGAAACAGTTGTCATTCCTCAGCAGGGTGGAAAAACTGCAGACCTGCTTGGTATCATCCTCTGTCTCTTTCCAGCCATGATTTGCCCTTTTTTATTCTTTTGTTCTTTTCATTAAAGAATATGTGGTGCTGAGGGTACTTCAGATCTAAGCCATTCTTCAAGCGTGTGTGAGCCCTCTAAATCTTGTTCCTGTAGTGCACAGTCGGAAAGTCTGTTCAACAGCTATACAGATTAATAGCTCATAATGTATCCTTTATTCCTTCAAATTTTAAACATTACATGACCAGTTTTACAGACTGCTTTGTAGTTTAAAATAAAATCCACTTAAACCTTAACAATATCCTCTTGTGTGCTCTGAGCTTCATCCTTTGCTATTATGTAGCGAACTTTGGGTCTCGAGTCCACTACATTCTGTATCACTCTGGAAAAAAAAAACATAAAAATGTAACATCCATACCTTCCTCAGAAAAAACTCATAAGGAAGCACAATATTTTTACATCACTAAAGAAAGTAATATTTAAATCATGCAGACACAAACAATACATTGCACAATCTATTGCCAGGCATATTTTGCTGTATCTCGTCAGGTTTGTTACTACAGAGTTACATCAACATAAAATGAAGCACAAAACTGAATAAATCCAACTGAAATGTGAACAGTTTCTTTCGACGCATCGTGGTGTGTTTAGTTTCCGGAAGTTCACTGTAGTCATGTGACTTACGAGGGTAACTTCAATTTTACTAACAATTCTCTCTGCTTACAAAGGAGGGGGTTGCTGACTTTAATTGTTAAAGTTTCAGCCATTCCCAGCAGTGTGTGATAAACTATTCCATTTCAGTTAGATTTATTCAGTTTTTTGCTTCATTTTTTGTTTATGTAACTCTGTAGTAATGCATCGGACAAGATACAGCAAAATATTATTGGCAATAAATTGTGCAATGTATTGTTTGTGTCTGCATTATTTAAATTTATTACATGACATTTTTTTTGTGTGAAAGCATATTATTTTAATTTGTGCATTCTGTAATTGCCGACTGTTTGAACAATTGTGTTCACAACAGTGAAAAACATTCTTATGATACAAATGTTGAAATTACTATTTTTTAAACTGATAAACTCCACAACTGTAGTTTAAACAAAACAACTTGATATGAATGCTGGCTAGAGAGGTTATATAATACTATGAAACAAGCTTTCATTAAGCCCTAGGTGCTTCTTCCAATACTTCAAATGATGTCACCTTGATTAAAAATCTTCACTTTTAATACCCACTTGAACATATTATTTTCCATCAGTTTAGTTGTCAACTTTGTGATTACTTAACCACTTTTTACTTAGAAAGGATATTGTCAAAGTTATTTTAGATTTTAACTTTCTTGTTGGTTATTGCCTTTTTATGTCAGTCTTTGAATATGGTCTGGGGAGTATACCCATGTCAAAGACCCAGTTGGAAAACTGGAACGCATACAAAATGAAGCTTTGCGAACCCTTCTTGGGACACATCAGTGGTGTATAAGACATACTTTGGCGATGCCAGTCACTGCTGATAGATATAGTACACTGAAAAGCTGGTAATATCTTAGAGTTGTTAGACTAAAGAAAGGCAGATCCTGGATGGCCCAGCTAAAAAGACAATCAACAGTGTCTGCAACATTAAAGAGATTAGCCAAGAAGAAGAAATGGTAAAGGTACTGGAGGATATAGAAGAGCTGCATAAAGTGGTAATTACCTTAGAATGAGAATGTGGGGATTGGGTAGCAGAACGTGCAGAGGCAGAGGTTCAGTCTAGATAGAGGACAACTCTAGGCCAGGAGATATGATTACACTGGTCAGTGGTCAAGTTCAGAAAGAGTGGATGGAGCTTCAACGCGAAAGCATGAGAGAGAAAGGTGACTGTAGAGAGCTTGGCATGTGATATTACCACATCCAACATGACAACAGGGGTTGAGTGCGTAACCGCAGCACTCCAATGGTTGGAGAAAATCTTAGCCACACATATTGTCACAGTACTGGATTCGCAAAACAAAACAAAGGTAGAGTCAGATTTTTTTTTGCATGGAATAGGTCACATAAATCCAGATGTCGCAGATGGTAAGAGTCACATGGATTAATTGCCCTGGCCATGCAGGTGTTACTGGGAATGAGCAGGCAAAATGGCTTTAAATAACAATTTTGTTCACAAGAAAACATCATAAAATGCTATTTTAAGTAAATATATTATTATTCAGGCATCTCAAACACTGCACAGATGCCAACACCATTAACTGTGTTTCTCATGGACAAGTCACTGCAGCCGTACCAGGTAAGCAGCATTTATGGGAATGAGTCATCATAGGAAATGATAGATTCGAGGCTTGTTGTATATTCACCAGTGAGGAAGTAGTTACTATGGCACTCCTCACATCTACAGCTTCTAACTTGTGTGTTTATTGTATTTCAATTTATTAAAATGTGTGACCTATTTCATTATAAGTTCTCACGTCACATGGTTCTTAAGTTCGTTCATGTATGTCTTTTCTTTTTCCACTGCTAATTAGTCTATTCTCCATCAGGTCTCATCAAAATCATATGAAGGCTTTCCAAGCCTGCTAAATTGTTATAAGTGTACTCAGTTCTAGTAAGGTTTTCCGTCTCATGTACACTGTTATTGGCCATTCGTTCATGCTTGCTGACCTTTCACAAGCGCTAGACTAAGTTACAGGGGAGTCACCTTGTGTTGTCTTCGATGCTGGGGGCCTATATTGCATGTGTGTTTTATTCACTGTTGTGAGCGGCCAGTGACATTTCTCATTTTATAGCTTTCTCAGACTTGTAGTAGAACATGAATTTCTCTTAGCTGTCAACATTGACGAGCGACAAGGAGAGCAGTGGTGCTTTCCTGCAGCAAGATGGCATTTTAAGGCCCTCTGCAAAATGTTGAAAATTCTGAAACTAGGAGAAATAGGCTTAGGATGTGGGGTAAAGGGGGTGGGGCCAGCTGTAGATGTTGTGGGGTCATTAAAAGCGGTCACATCGTATAATACAGAACATGGTATATAGCCAGTGATGGCATTGAAGACAACAACATGACATGGAACATAGGCTGCACTCTTTGTGGGATGTAGGTTGAGGTTTGGGGTGTGGGTGGGGGTGGGTTAGGGCCAGTTCTAGATGTTGATGGGTCGGTATAAGTGGTGATATTGTGTAATAAAGAACACGGTATATCACCAATTATAGCAATGAAGACAACACAACATGACACCCCTGTAACATAGACTAACCACTGTGAAAGGCCACAAAGCATAAATGCAACAGTCTATTTTGCGTAAAAAATGTGACAAGAACCATGCACTCTCTACTTATTTTTTGCATGATCTCCCAACACAACCAGTATGTTCCATTTAGGTGTTTTTTTGATGATGATTTTGAGGTCTTTATAAAAATCTTCTTTAGTATTGTTTTTTTTGTTTTTTTTTTGTCTTCACTTGGTACAGGCATATTATTAATATTTACATTTTAAAAATTTCCTTTAATTCGTACCTGACTGATCCGATCAATAAAAAATGTATGATGCTTTTCCATAAACTTTTACTGAGCTCCATCCCTAATTTGTTCGTTCATATTTGTTTTGAGTGTTGCTTCCACAAATTATGATCATTTCATTTTCTTTAATGGTACCCTCTCATGGCAACCTTATTTTATGAATAGCTAAATCCATTTTATAATATGATAGCTCACAGGTTAGTTTGTTGTCTACTCAAGTACTATAATGGGTTCATACATTCCATTTTTCAAATCTCAAAAGTCCTTAGCATTCCAGGGTTGTTTCCATTCAAATCCATTCAAAATCGAGGCTTAGATAACTGCTTCATGATGTAATGAGGTCTTAAAAAGGTAGGAGTATTCAAAAATGTCCTTCGAGGAACGGGTATTTCAAATATGAAAATGTAACTGAGATTCACATCACTGACAGGAAATAATTTGGTTCAGAAGTCAAGATAGAAATGTCAAACAATTTTTGTTCTTGCAGCAGTCTATCACTGAATGCTTGTTAATAGTAGGGCTGTACCGAATAGTGATTTTCACTAATTGGCCGAATACGAATAACGAGACCAACTATTCGGCCGAATACAAATATGAATGCAAATAGTGTATTGTGTATAAAATATATCTAAAAAAAAAAAAAACATTTATAATGTCAAATGTACGCTGAACTTGTACTTCACATAAGGTAGCACAGAAAAGTCATCTTCTTTTATAGCATTCTGAGGCCTTGAGGTTTACTGCTGCATTCATCTCTCTGGCTGGCCTTCTTTTCACAATTTGTGACACCAGTTGTTTACAGGTCTGGCTGGACATTATCTATCGATCTTCTTTTTTGTCTTCTTTTGTTGTATTTCTTCTCTCAACATGTTAGAGCAGTTGAAGTTTGCACCCAAGTACTTATATGTTTCCATTCGTTTGATTTTCATATTATCGACTTGGATGTGGCCGGAGTTTATATTCTTTCCATGTCTAGTTAGTATTCGTACAGAATAGTAAACATTCAAAAACATTTTATGTTTTGCATCCTTCAGTCAGTCTGTGGTAACTAATAACTAAGAATGAAAGAATCCTACGTATTATAACAAGTAAATAAACTTGGAAATCGTGTACTGACAGCTTAGTTAATTTAGCTTTCAACAAAACCAATTGTTCCATGAGCGGGTGTAAGGTAACTACTATTCGTATTCGGCCCGACCGCAACTATATGGCCGAATACTGAATAGTCAATAGGTCCACTATTCGGCCCCAAAGCGAATACGAAGCGAATATTCGGTACAGCCCTAGTTAATATTCACTGAGAAGAACAAATTATTTCACTAAGAATATATAACAATTATGTATACACATTACAGACACAGATTACAGAATACAATTTCAGACATAAAATATTAGTATAAGTTAGACTTAAGAATACTGGTTTATTAAAACCATTAAGAAAAATTACTTCAACTTCTTGAAGAAACTTACGCAGCAAGATCTTTTATGTGAATTGTTGGAATAATATTCTTTCCATCTCCAAAACATTGTAAATAAGGAGCATTATGCCATGCAGCCTATAAAAATTCAGTTAAATAATTCAATTGTTAATAAAATTTAAAAAATAAATAATGCAAATGAATAAGATATTATTTGTATGCAATGCAGTAAGTAGATGTAAAAATCAGTTTCACAGTGTTATGCGGGTCTTAAGATGAAAGAAAAAATTATATGCACTTGTTTGAAATCATATATCAAGTTTTTTATATTGTCAGGTGCCAGTTTAGCCTATGGCTACATTAGTAGAGATGTTTATTGTTATCACCCATGTGTACCTAGACAGACCTCAAAGTTAGACTATCACGATAAACGAGGAGAAGCCATGACAACTGAACTCCATGTGCAGAATAGCCACAAGGAATGCTGAGCAAGGGAGTTGAGCAAAAACGCTGGATAGAGGGAGCTCTTGACAGACATAGTGCGATTAATTTCAAGTTGTGTTGATGTGTGAGAAAGGAACCAGAAATCTGCAACTGAGGTCCTACAACCTCAGATCACAATTTATTTTCATCATCATTGAATTCAAAGGTCACCATGTGTCCAAGGATAGAGAACAGATAAGCTGTGTCTTGATTGTGGTGTTGTGTTCTGGTCTTGTTTTCTTGCCTTGTTGTTCCACAAAGTCGTCTTAGTACAATGGTGCCATACATTGTCTATCATTCTAGTCTATCCTTTTTTATCATTGATAGTATTTTGGTGGGAGGTTGGCAGGGCTAGAAGTTAATTGTCCTTAACTGTTAGGATAACGTACTTTTACATTCAAGCGATACCAAGACTCTCGACTCAAAGTCAGCTTGTTTTGATTTTGGGCTGATTATCGATGTACAAGCTAGTGGCGTTTTGTTAGTGATTTGTCCTTGTTAATTCTGTGTGTGCTTTCTTGTAATTAATTGTTAGTTTAATATTTTGTTGTCATTCATTAAGTAATGTCATCTTTAGATCAAAACCCATCTCTAATAGGTGTGTTTGTTTCTGATTTTGCTATATGTTGTAATATCAGTGACATTAAATTAGCTGTGCGATATAGTTGTTTTTGTGTATGGAGTAAATACATCATCATTTCATTCCCAATAAATTGTTGTAGACAAGGAGTAGATTTCAGATTCCTACTCCTACATTTTCTGTCATTACGATCCAAATTGTTTCACAGACTGCCTTTATATTGTTTTGCCTTTTCAACTGTAATATAACTGTATTTTTAAAAAAATATTGTTTCTGTAATTTGGTTGCTGTTAATTGTAATTTTTTTGGTAGTTCGGATACCACGATTTGAGGTTGTAGTTTGGATACTATGATGTTTAGTTATAGTTCAGAAATTGCGATTAGGGGTTGTTGTTCGGATGTCATGATTATTTTATGTAGTTCGCATATGTCTTCACCGTTGTTGCTGTGGGTATTTTTCTTTTTTTCCAGTGTAGTTAGTGTGTTATTTATTATTTTGATTGAAATTACACTGAACTTTTGTAATATTTACATTATTGCAAAATGTCTAGCCTTGCTGATTTCACCGAGATGACCAGACAGAATGGTTTGACTGGTGACAAGATACCTGAATGGGCGGACAAGAAATATGCTGATTTGCAAGAAAGACAGGATCGAGCAGAGGAAAGTGAGTTTAAAAAAAGCTTGAACTAGAGGCACAGAATAAAACTAAAGAGACAGGCGTTGACCAGCGATAAAGAGTTAGCAGTACAAGAGAAAGAGATAGCAACTCAGGCCGCCTTGCAAACAGCCTTGAAACAGCAAGATGTAGAGGCCCAAATAACCTTAAAAGACAAAGAGATAGCATCTTCAGCTGAAATTTTAGAGTTACAACACACAACTATCCTTATAGATAAAGAGTTAATTAGCATTTCTGAGATGCAGAAAGAGAAGATGACTATGGAGCTGAAGGTCAAAGAATTGGAAGCTAGCAGAAATGTGGAAATACAAACAAGAAAAGCGGAATTAAAGGCAGCTGAACCATCCTTTAAGAAGTATGAGGGGCTTGTAAAATTTTTCACTCAAGGTGAATCAATTTCTACTTGGAATCAAAACTTCTGGCCAAACATTTTGATGTTCCTCATACAGAATGGTCACTTATGTATAGAAAACATCTGAGGGGTGAACTATTTACATTATTAGAAACTATACTGATATCTTTGGTAGCCACAAAGGGGAAGTGTAAACCTTACATGTGTACATGTCCTTTATAAATGTAGATGTGCTTTGTTATCAGGTGACTGACTCATGACAAGGAATTCTTAGATTTAGAAAACTTAATGTTGACTATAGAAATAAATGACTGCCTCGTGAGAGAGGATATTTAAACTTACTAAACTGAATGTTGACGATTCAGATATGTGACTGATTTATAATATGGGACCTTTTTCATGTCTGGCTAACTGAAGGCTGACATAATTGTATGAACATCTCATACCCAGTTAGAGATACTTGAATACAGGCTTGGACAAGTGTCTTTCTTCAGAAATTTTCTTTCTAGAGGAGGGGTGGTCATCAGGTGCCAGTTCAGCCTATGGCTATACTAGAAAGGATGTTTATGTTTATCACCCGTGTGAACCCAGACACTACCTCAAGGTTAGACTATCACGATCAATGAGGAGAAGTCATGATGACTGATTTCTATGTGTGGGAAAACCATGAGGAATGCTGAGCGATGGAGTTGAACAAAAACTTTGGACAGAGGGAGCTATAGACATACAAACAGATGATAGTGGACTTTGGTGTGACAACGACCGTTAGCTGTGAACGTGTTATGGAACAGTTAGTGATAGATCGTTAAGTATATTGTGTGATTAGGTAATAGTTGTGAAGCAGTTATTCGGTTGTAGCATTCTTTAGGGATTAGAACTGTATGTGTAGAGCCTGTTAGGTAGTTAGGTACAGTTATAATGCATTGGTTGTGGTGGTAACACTGTCCACGCACATTCAGGCCTTTCCTCTGTGCGCCTCATAATCTCGCATGGTGAGGACAGCAGTTTGACCAGCACTGTACTAAAGTGGAGTGGGTTTGTATCCCAGGATATCCACGGAAATGGCATGGTACCCCTAGTTTATGTAAAAAAAAGGTGGCTGGCGTTTAAGATCGGGGACTCCCACCAATTTAGAGACTAAATGACTAGTTTGACTTAATCTTTGTTTATTAAAGATTTTGTGTGTTCTCTGCCGGTGATCAGTTTAAGTGTTGAGTAGTTTTGTCTGTTGTCGGCCTGCAATACAAGCCAGATTACCTAGATTTAATCTAGAATAGAGAAAGTCATTGCATACATACAATGAAATATATCAATTTCAATATGTCTGAGGTTTCCGGTTTGTGTCAAGATGGCGGGATGTGTTTCTCTCTAGCTCGGCGCATATCGGTTGATCGACGGTCCGACAAGCTGTCATCGCAAAACCACCAATTGTTATAGAATCAGATTTCTGACTCTAACTGCATGATGATTCGTTCTAATCTGTTAAATTCACATGGGAGTACACAGCCCAGGAGATATGAATCAAAACGGAGAGAGGCTAATTGAACTCTGAGAAATAGCAAATCTAACAGCAGCAAGCTCCTTATTTCCGCATAAAGACATACATAAAGCAACCTGGATTTTGCCAGATAACATAACAAAAAACCAGATAGATCATTTTTGCATCAGCGCCAAATTCCGTTCATCAGTGCAAGACGTTAGAGCCTACAGGGGAGCTGATATTGGCAGTGATCATAATCTTTGTATTGCCAAACTAAAAATTAAACTCATGTCTCTACTTAAACCACCCAGGAATAAGAAAATAAACTTACAAGCCCTTTTGTCAAAAGATCATCAAAGCGCATTTAATACAGAGATACTCACCACCTATGTAACCAAAACTAATAATGCGGATACTACAAATAACATAGACAAAAAGTGGGACTTTTTCAAGAACACACTGACGAACGCTGCAGTAAACACAGTTGGTTATGTACAAAAGCAGAAGAAGAAGTGGCTAAGCGACAACACTTGGTCAAAAATCCAAGAAAGGAAACAAGCAAAATTAACACTTTTATCCAAAAAAGACACATCTTCATACGAAAAATACAGCACGCTAGACAAAGAAGTGAAATCAAATTCAAGGAAAGACAAACAGAACTTCATACACGACCTCGCCTCCGATGCTGAAACAGCTGCCAAGATTGGAAACAACAAAGCCTTATTCCATTTTATGAAACAACTGTGCAATCACTCACCTACACTAAATACACCCATTAAAGACAAGCAGGGTAAACTACTGCTATCCGACGACCAACAAACAAAGCGATGGGCAGAACATTTCAAGGAAATATTAAATAGGCCAAATCCTGACATCATTCCCAATCTAGAAGAAGAAATTATTACACCGACACTAGTTGCCTCCAATGAGTCATTCACAATAGAGGAGATTAAAACAGCTATTAAAAAATTAAGAATAAACAAAGCTACCGGAGAGGACAACATCTCAGGGGAAATGCTCAAAGCAGCGGATGAAAACACCCTGCAACATTTGCTCCAGCTGATGGATGAAGTCTGGCAAAACGAATACCCACCACAACAATGGAAAGATGGTGTAATCTTCAAATTACCTAAAAAAGGTGATTTATCCGATTGTAACAACTGGAGAGGCATCACCCTGCTTTCGATACCAGGGAAACTATTTTGTAGTATGCTACTAGAAAGATTGAAAAAATCCATAGATGAAAGATTAAGGGAAGAACAAGCCGATTTTAGATCCAAGCGGTCATGCATAGACCACATCTTTACTCTTAGAATAATTGTTGAAGATTCTACAGAATTCCAGTCGAAATTATTGATCAACTTTGTCGACTTTCAAAAAGCCTTCGACAGTATCCATCGTCCAACACTCTGGAAATTGCTTAACATCTATGGTTTCCCCATCAAATATATCAACATCATAAAATCTTTTTATAATAAAACACGATGCTGTGTAAGAACTGATTCCGGCAATTCTGACTGGTTCCCGGTGGAAACAGGAGTGAAGCAAGGCTGTGTCCTATCGC